TATTTCCCCCCTTTACAGTAATGGAATCGTCTCATCATCATGAATACGATCCTGGAATCTGAATTTTTCTGTATATTATATTAAGCAACTACAGACTCAATACTTAAGAAATAACTTAACAACTAATGACAATTTGAACATTATATACCGATAAAGTCCGGCTTATCCAAAAGCAGGTGACGTCTCAATATGCGTGGAAAATTCTCGAACTGGACATTAAACAACATTCAATCAATCACTCCTCTTTACCAAAAGAATTAACATCTACGTTTCACTTCAATATAAATTTTACTACATGTATGTCTTAAAATTATCAAAAAACACTATTACTAATGATTTGTTGGACGAACAAGTAATTTATAGCTGTGGGATATACATGTTATATTCTGAAGAAATGAAGTATGGAGATAACGAACAGTAATCAAGCTCAAAAGTCCATAGAAACAATAGAATCGGGAGCAGAGCAAGCACGGACCTCTAAAAACATCAGAGGTGGGTTCAGGTGCCATGGAGGAGTAAGCATCCCCTATTGACCGGTCATGATCAGGCAAACGGAAAAATCCGGAGACAATTCAGTTTTTAAATAATGGCGTAACAATTAGTATGGAAAAAGTCAGTCAACATTCGACTAAATGATAGATTGTATTTGCTGACAAGGTCATTGTATCGACTATAAAACTTGCGAAATGATGACTTGAAACGAGACCTGTTGATATCCTCTTTGTGTCGACTGCAGAGCAGGCAGAGCAGAGCTGTACTAAGGGATCACTTACCCGGCGTCTGTCTGTCTGCCTGTCCGTCTGTCACAACCTATATATATCGAGAACTGTAAGAGGTATGGATTTTATATTTTGCACAATGCATTGCAGGGCACTATGGCTTTTGTAAATTACCATGGATACCGACCTCGTGACCCTTAACCTTAGACCCACTTTTCAAAATAGTTCATAGTGCCAATATACAGCACATTTTTGACATTTAAGAGGAAAACTTTCGCTATTTAGCATGTGCACAGTTTGTCATAAGATATTACACTTGACCGTAACCTTTGACCCACTTTGCAAAAAATACCCTGGACAGTTTAATTTAACTTATGGCTTTTGAATTTTGAAAAGCAGGATTTTGATAATTAGCGTTTATACATGTTTATGAGCTCATGATACTGTACTTTGAAACTGTATGATATTCAGTTACAACACAAACTTGTATTTAAATACTATAAAAATACATCGGGATCGGTATTCCACAATGGATCGTGTAGACTGACAATTGCAGTAAAGACAGACTGAAATCTCTTGGAGAATTGTTGGGAAAATGATAAAGTCATTTCTAATAATTTCAACTTAATCATTCATTTGAGGGTTGCCTTGGGGAACTATATGTTCTTTGATTGTCAGATTCTATCGCAGTCTTATACTATCCATGGATGTCATTTTTTTTTCTTTGCAAATGCGTGAACTATCATGCTAACAGTAAATAAAAAGCTGATCACTCTCAGACTTATTTACATCTTTAATGAAGTTACAAAGCAGGCGACACATGTGTTCCTTGGAACACTTTAGTTTCATCAACTTGTTTGTCAGTAGCTTGCCTCGTTTTATAAATTGTTCGTACATGGAGCATGCTCTTGCGTATCGAATCAACTGGTAGATATAAACTCCATATGAAGGTGAGAAAATAAAATAAAGATACATAAGTTCATCTGTTTAACAAGCGTTGACTAGCATCTATCCTGCTGTTTTGCTGGATATGAAATAAATACGCCACAGAAAGAGATTGATTTCAAATGGATGATTGAATAATACAACATATGCTACCAATGTTATGCAATCCATATTAAATAATGCAATAGTAATTATTTCAAAAACTTGTTTGTTTCAATAGTCTGATCTCGTTATTAAGGTGTTTAACAGCTTCCCATCACTGTACGTCTCGTTTATTCATTTTGTATAACACCTGATTTATTCTTTTAATAAGAAAAATACCTTTAGAATTAAGTGCCTGTGGTCCAAATCTACTCACTGTTCAAGAATTATTTTTGCTAAGTCCATGTGAAATATTCTTTAACTTCCAATCCTCATTGTGCTTGTAGCAACACGTTATCTTTAAGCAACAGCTAACTATTTTGTAAGCTCTCCGCTTAGTACAATGTCATTTTTCAAAAACTTTGAAGGGAATAGCCTTCAGCTCATAAAATCTCCAACTAGAGAAGAAAACACCATTGATTAACACAACCCTATCCAAAGTGCAAGTGCTACCTACACCAAGTGATGAATTTTTTTTGTGTTTCTGGAATCCACCATAAATGTATGCCCAACCTTGTTTAAATTAGAGTTGTATCGTGATAAGTGCCAATTGAGGTGTGGGCTAAATGCAAAATATATTGAAATATTTTGAAAAAAACAAACAAAAACAACCAAGAACTGTTAAGTGATGAGATTTTCATTCCATTTGTCTGACGTCATTGAGTAAGACAATTATGCTAAATTGGACTAGTCTTGTTGGAGAACTTGTTCAAAGATTTTCTTCTGATAACTGAGTCCCAGGAATTTCATTTGATAGTACCTATCAATTTCCGTAACAAACGTTATATTTTTGCTTTATGTTATGTCATAAACGATTGATGTAATTTCACAGTGATGTCACTATAATACGCACATATTTGTTGTAAATCAGTAACAAATGTAAATATAAATAATATAAATAATAAGGTATCATTTTTTGTCTCCTGCAGAGCAGAGCAAGGCGACACTTAGGGATCACTTTACCCAGCGTCTGTCTGTCTGTCTTTCCATCTGTAACACCTTATATCGAGAGAACTGTAAGGCATATGGATTTGATATTTTGCACAGATTGCTTGGCACTATGGCTTTTTGTAATTTACCATGGTTTCCGAACTCGTGACCTTTTAACAGTGACCATTTAGCTACTTTTCAAAATGTTTCATAGGGCCGGTAAACAGCATATTAAGTAAGTATATAAGTAAGTTTATGCTTTTTAGCATGTGCACTGTTTGTCATTAAATATTTTGAAAACACCACAGTTGACTGTGACAAGCCACTTGACCTTGACCTTTTTCCAAAAAAAAAAAAAAATACTCTGGATGCTTCAACTGATGTTGTTTTGATTTTGAATAAACATGTTTATGAGCTCATGTCACTGTACTTTGAAACTGTATGATATACAGTTACCACACAAACTGAAATTTTATATTCTATGAAAATACATCGGGATCGGAATTCCTAAATGTATAAACAGAGTATTTTAATGTTTAATTAGACATCAACTAGATGAAATCCCGCGCAAGCGCGGGGAATTGAATTTATAACCTACCGACAGAAAATATATTATAGTTTCTACTGACAGCCTACAGGCTTATAGAAGGAAGAAATACTTTGTTCAAAATCACACAGGAAGTAAATGTACGTCTCCACCCCCACCCCACCCCCTTTTTGTAAAAACCTGAAAAATAACAATTTCATTTAATTGACGTTTATTGTGAAGCCTGTTATATAATGTTATGGATATTGTACTTCAGATGCTCTTATTTCATTTCCGCCAAGGATAAAAGAGCGAATACACATGCATGCACATTTTACTGATAAATTGATGGGGGGGGGGGTAAAAATTCACAGGTACTTGGGTCTTGGTTTATAAATATGTATGTATCTTATTGATATGTAAAAAATGTACTTTACCTTTTTTACATCTCAATAAAGTACCCGGTACATACATATTTATATACCAAGACCCAAGTTCCTGTGTAAAAATTAGCTGCTTAACGCCCTATGAATAGGCCGAGTATTTGATACAAACGACTGTATTCAGAAAAAACTGAAATGTATTGATTAAAGCACAAAATTTTACAGCTTTAATTATGTTTGAACAATATTTCATTCATTAATTTTCTCTTTTTTTATGTAAGGGGTACGTTGTCACGATGCTCTCAGTAAGGAAAATACAAATTTTACCGATAAAGTTACAAATTTTACCGATAAATTTATTAGAAAAACCTACTACATATATGTAATAGTCTTTCGATATATAAATATATTCACAACTTATAGTGTTATCAATGATTTACCATTATTTCAATGACCATTCACACAAAAGTGTTTTTTTTTAAATTTTCATGCAGCTATAATCGCCTCGTTTTTCTTTTTAACTTCGGGCTCAATGCTATCTGATGTTCTAGAAGCTTCCGTCAATATTAAGATCGGCGAATGACGAACATAATTTGCACATTTCCCTTTTTAATCGGTTATCACAACTTATTTCTTTTATATCATTTAAATCAAGTTTTGATTGAATAATAAAGTGATGACGTTTTATGAAATAAATAAACGATTGCTTGTTGTCAGTTTCATTAAAAACTGCCAGTAACTTAGATCCGCCAACCGGAAACGCCACCGTACTCACGTTTTTGCTATTTCATGGCTGTTTATAGAAAATAAAAGTAGACTTTTAATTTAATGTACGACACTTACTATGCGAGTGAAATCTAAATATAGTTTACGGACATCATCCTGTATATGGTGTATTGTTAGAGAAGTAAGTAAGAAATCTGATGCACCCGTTTCGGAGTTTATTTGCAAAATTTATTAATTTATAAGTATAGATGTGTACACCAGGTTAGTGTTAGCTTGATGACGCGACCTCTAACTATAGAATGATTAGACATACTAATCGATATCGGATGAACTTACGGATTTTCACTTCTTCCATGCCTTCCCCTACGTTCCTAAGTCCTCTACAGTTACAAATTACTTGTATGGCAAACAATTCATTGGCCATAGTGTTTCTTGATAATTGTAAGCATTAGATCAAATAGCCTTTAAAAATATCAAGACATATACATTAATTCAGCGAGTCAAGAAATAAAACGGTAGTACATAAAACAAGTTAAAATTCTGGACTATTTTAAATTAAAGCCAGTAGAATTACGGTCCTATCAGAGATTTCCGATTTAAATGTCAAACCAGAGATAAAAGAACAGTCACTCTGTTTTCTATAATTTATTAGCATTATGTAGATTGAATATAATAATCAAAGCTTGGCTTTTTCTGTGATTTGCATTGCCAGCAAAGTGGGACGGATTATAATCTAGCAATTATATTTTTGACAAAAAATGGTAAAAACCCGATATGAACCAAACCATTTTCCGTTAAAGATCTATCTGATTAAAATAAGCACAAGATCGGATCGTCATAAAAAAAAATTCAGAGACCAAATCCTGCCATGACCCAAAACTTACAAGCAAGATTATATAGAATTTTGCATGCAGAAAGCAAAAACAAATAAATTATTAGGAAAAAACATAACAACAATGTTAAAATTGAAATCGTTTGTATACTAGTTGGTAGATTTCATTTCTAGTATTTTTTCACTTTGACAAAAATTGGCACACCAATAAATTATATGTTCAGTACTATAATGTGTAGACCATAACCTCCCATAATACACATGTATTCTAGAGGTCAGAGATCATACAGAACAGTAAAAAGTACTCAGAGTACCACTTAAAAGTCAACAGTACATCCTGACATTCTAACAAAAACACCATTTAATAAATATTATAGCAACATTTCTTCTACAACTACATAACAATTGTTGAACACATGTCATTGAAGTATCTTCTTGTTTGTGTGACTAGTTTCTCTGTAAAAGTCTGAATTAAATGAATTACACCCCAGTTATTTTTCATTTGCTTTAGCTAAGAGATCTACGAATAAAAATCTTTTAAAATAAATTGCGTCACTTCCGTTTGCTAAGTCAATCAATAGAGATCTAGGAATGAATACACGATAATAATCAATGCTCTATTTCTTATATAAATGTCACAAACTAAGAAAAATTAACAAACCCAAGAAAATATTTAGTATGCAAAAAGGTAATGTAACTTTAAACGTTTTTCTTCACATCTCTAGACTTTTCTTGCGTATATCATTAAAATCCAGATAAACCGAATCCTGACTACTGGGCTCGTCAAAATCCTAACAAAAAGAAAGAAAAAACATAGATTATTAAAGAAAGTACTAGTAAAGCGCAACTCAGCGATTGTAATCTAAAAATGAGGCAAAGGCTCGTATCAAATAAATGTTCAATAATATTCATGTAATAGTCTTATCATTAAAGTGTTATAGCTACGCAAATTCAAAATACAACATCTGAAGCAAAACAATAGTAGTATAATTTGGTCAGGGCAAAGCCTGTAATTACTTGGAAATATGTTTGCTAAAAATCTTTAAACTGGGCCCTCGTCAAAGAAAAGGTTGATTATGGTAAAAAAAAAACAACCCTTAAATGCATCGTCGATTCAAGGGAAGACAAGGTTTAGCTTTAGTTTTCTTGGGAATGGATTTACTCCCCCAAGGACCATGATGCGACCAACCTTTAATCTTCAATATCTGAGCTAAAGCAACTTGCATAATTAATATGACTAAACCTGCCCTACTATTCTTGAGAAGAATATATTGATGATTTTTCCCTAATATTCCCATGTAAAACTTTGGTCCATTTTTATAACCCCATGCTAGTCTCGAGGGCCATGATTTGAAAAAAAAAATCTGGAATCTCAACTATACCTGAGGATAATTGCATATTAAAATGATAATCATGGCCTTGCTGTTCTTGAGAAAATTTTTAAAGACTTTTTTCTATACCTTGTCCAAAATAAAACATATATCCTATTGTGGCCAAATCCTTTCCCAGCGGGGGATTTGAACAAACTTAAATAAACGCTATGCCAAAAGGCTTTCACACAAGTTTCATCTTTTCTGGCCCATTGGTTTTGAGGGCATATCTTTTTCAGAAAAACGGTCTATTTTGCCTATTTGATTATTTTCCCTTTCAAGAGAATGTGGCCCTTCATTTGAACAAAATTGAATTCCCTTTACTCAAGGATGCTTTTGGCATCCAGAGTTTTCTGGAGAATAAGTGGTTAAATGTTAATTGCTAAAGGTCGGACAGACAAGCAGATAACGAATACAGGTGAAATTGACCGTGATAAGAAAAGCCTGGTTGAACCTTTTGTTCAGGTGAGCTAAAAATGCATTGAAACATATTTAGTGACATGCGTCCTAAGCTGCATCATTTCGAAAACTCTTCCAGATAATTTAATACATCCTTCATCTTAAATAATAAAGATATCGTTCATCCCAGACGCATCAACAAGTTTAGTGCAAGTCTCGCATACAGTTTGTTTGGTTGGACTTTTCCCAATATATTACACTGTAAAAGATCACTCATCTGCAAAATACAATCTTATGCTGTATCTCATTCCTCCTTGCATCATCCTTGCAAAATTGGTCCTTTAACTTTTATTGTCTCTTGGGAAAGGATCCCCTCAAAATTTTGCTGTGGCAGAAATGGTAGTAAACATTTCTTAATTCCAAATTTCGTGTAGGTAGAAATCATAAATACTTGCGAATTCATTCGTTTGAGAAACATTAATCTAGCCACCCATATGGAAATTTTTGCAGCATCTAAAGCGTAATTGGTAGTATACATCGCTAGATGTATCAACCACATATGGTCTCAAGGTAGATCCCATAATTACTTGGAAATGAATATACTCAAAACCTTGGCTACTTGTCCAGAAATATAAGTCAAATGCAGCATCCAAAGCCCCTTTGATGCATCATCCATGCAGGTTTCTTCTACTTGCTACGAACTTATTGATTCTCGGAAAAGGAATTTTCTAAAAATTTTATCTTGGCTACTTATCAAGATGATATAGGTCAGATACAGTATCCAAATCATATCTAGTAGTAAACAATCCCAAATGCACCATCCTTGCTTGTTTGGTCAAGCCAGAGCTTATTATTGCTTGGTAAATGGAATTATTCTATAAACAGACGTCTGGGTAATTAAAACTCATCTCTGCTTCAGTGAGATGGGCCAGATTTGTTAGATCTTGGTTTCTGGTAACAAGGCTAAGTTTTTATGGTTGATTATTTGATTTTTAATATTAATAGGAAGTCAAAGAATTATTCTGAGCTTTTACCTCTGGTTCTTTTTTGATAGTGTCATCCAGTTCTTTTTTAATTTCTTTGGAATTAGCAGAAAAAAAACGACCGCCCTCACCACGGAAGCGGTTCATTGCGTGCCTGTGGCGGGATTCATGAAGATATTTCTATATTTAAAAAAAAAACATCAAATCGTTATTGCTAATATTGAAAATATTAAACGCAAATTAATTGCTATTGAACCAAATAAAATATTACATTATAGAATTCCATCATCATCATTTTCTGCTTGTTAAATTCTTGAATACTAGTACTACATTACAAAAAAAAAAAAAAAAAAAAAAAACTAATGATATCCTTGTAGGAGACAAATCGATGCTTACTTTTCTCTCTTTTGGAATTTTGCCCTGGGCCTGTAGTTTTGCCCTCGCTTGTCGCCGTTTCAGAATTCTGTGATACTGTTTGGCATTGACGTACAGAGGTTCATCCTCCTGGATGTCACTCACTGGGAAAGGGCACTGCATGGGGTGCAAGTTCTCGCCATTCAGCACCTAAAAAGACATTAACTCCAAAAAATAATATTGCCGAAACAATCGGTTTGAAATAAAATTAAAGTTCCTATTTTTTTTTAGTATGTTCTAGTTTGCAATTTTATACAGAAATATATTTTTCAACTTGCATACCATGATTTGTTGATGCTGGGGTGTAGGAAATCCTTCAGGGTACTGATGAAAATCTGAATGGGGGAGAATACCGGGGCTGCTGGGGTCCATCGAGTCTGGCATCCGATCTGGACAATGCATGGCCGGTGAGTGTTGGACGTTGCTGTTTTGTTGAGAAATAGCACAAGAGTGTGTCGGCAAATTGAAATTTTGTCGAGCACTAACGGCAACTGTGGGTGAAGACGGGTGAGAGGAATACATCGGAGAAGCTCTAGAGTAAGGATTCACCATCGGTACCCCATTCTGAAGGAACGGGGACTGGGGAATCCCGCCATAAACCTGGTTAGGTGAGGGAGAGGACTGGTAGTAGGGCTTACTTGGAGATGCTATGCCATTACAATTGTTTGGAGAATCAATCCGATTCACATTATTTCGAGCACGGACGTTTTCAACATTGCTTAGACCGTTGTCATTGTAGTGGATATGACTGCGCGGGTATGCAGGGTGAGGGAATCCATGTTGATTTGAATGAAATGTGGAATTTGGATTTGGAAGATGAGAGACGTTGTCATATTGTTGTGGTGACGATACTATGTCTGGAAAATGTGATGACCTTGGGCTGCCACAACTAGAATTTGGGGAGACTGGACAGGATGATGACTGGCTGTCTATGAAGATTGAACACATATATTAATTTAAGGCACATGAACCATGAAAAATGTGAGGTAATACGTAAAGTATTGTTTTTTTTTTTTTTTTTTTTTTTTTTTTTCATTATTTGAAATCAATTTTCATATTACACGAAATACAATGTATTACATAAGAAAAACCGCTATAATGAATCAAAATTGATAAGGAAAATTTTAAAAACGAGGAAAAGTTCCTTATATGTTGACATGGCGCTTCGATGCGTTCGCTAGATAAAATTGACTAGAAAGGACGCTTACTTCTGTGTGACACGGGACTCTCCGGCTGCCTTAATATGCAGTTGTTGTGAGAAGAGGAATTGACAGGTAGTCTCAGTCTGTGAGGGTCTTCATAATGGGAGATTTTAGGATCATCCATGGGGTGGATGAACGAGGCGGGATGACATCGACTCTGGTAGTTCCTCATGTCAATATGCTGGGGATGCTGTTGCTGTTGTGCAAGATAGAGCTGGAAACAAAGAGTAAAATTTCGGTTATGGGGAAAGTTCTTTAAAAATGAAAAGAAAGTAACAACTTCATCTTAATATTCTAGAACGTATAATTATATTATTCAATTCAATTCATTAAGACTTTCATCAAAGAGGTGCTTCTGGACAGGACCCCCTACCCCTCCACTAAAACCCGGGCCTTTCAAGTTTTCAAAAATAAATTATTCTTCTGTCAGATATATATATGATTTGTTCCATAAGGAAAGAAAATAAAATTAGATATTCACACTTGAGAAAAAATTGTCAGTACCTAATTTTAAACGCGTAAATACAATCACCTGTAAGCTATATCTGTTAGCATGGCTTACCGGTGCAATACAACACATATATTTGTAAGTGAATAAATGTATGTTAATTGATATTTTATCTAATGCTAGAACACGATTATAAAAAAAGTCTCCACATGTACACATAAAAGCATACGGTATTGATTTTCATGTTGTACTTGGTTAGAGTTTGCAACTTTCGTTAAATGCAAATTTTTCATAGACGTCTGCTGGGTTCTTAAGAATATATGAAGTACACTAGAAAACGTATTTATAATCATCTCCATATAATAGAAAAAAAAATCAAGTTTTTCGATTCTTACTGCAGAACAGGCTTGGTCACCAGAAAGAAAATCCATATAAACTTTGTATGGTGCGAAAAAGGATTCGAGGACATCTTCCTTACGTACATGAACAAGTTCTTTTTTGTTCTCATCAAAATCGATTTCAAAGTGCAATGTTTTGTTGCACAAGAATTTATCATCCACATAAAAATGGTAATAATCATCCATATTTGCTACTGCCACAATCCTAGTAACATATGAATTCTCATTCGTGCTTTCGTACAATGAATAGAACATCTTACACAAAATAGATGTAATTAATACAAATACCCTCCAGTGATGCTATCTAGTTTGCCTTACCCATCCCCGCTGAATATTGACAGTTCTCAATGACCTCAACAACACTTCTGATGAAAAATATCATCACAAAAACTTGGGTTGAGAGAAATTTAGAAAATTTTAGACAGTCTTCAAAACACCCCTTTTGAAAATAAATGTAACTACGATAAATTTGATAACATGAACCTACTTTACAGGCTTCTGAAATTTCCAATCAGAATTTAAGCTTTCACTGTCAATTTGTTATTGGATATACTAGAGTGTTCGATTATTTGTTTCAAAAACTTTGTGTTTCTACATCTTAACCAGGATAATAAATCTAAAAATTACGCAAGAAAATACTTTGTAGATTAACAAGAGACAATTTTTAAAAATTAACCCAGAAATCGTTGCCTACACGTGTAGTAGGTTTAATTTCTTAGATATGCAATAATTAGTTTATCAAGGGAATCGGATCAAATTCAAATTTTTTGTTTGTAAATGCATTTTTTCTAATCTGAAAATGCCAACACTGTATGCTCAAAGAAAACTGTTCCTATTCCCGCTCGCCTCACTGCATGAAAAAGAACTGTCAAGTTACATTTATATTTTCTAAACATTTATTTTAAAAATCTTACCTGAGGTGGCACTGGGCCAAAGTGGCCCGGAACATGCATATTTGATGAGCAAAAAAGTTGAGTTGGCGGCAAAATTTGACGAACTACGTTCTTCTCCAAGCACAGTGTACTTCTCTCTGTCTTGCTTGCTCTACAATTATAAATCAACAAATATAACGTCAGGCATCCAGAATTAAACTCACATTTAAAAATGCTTACAAGGAGGAAGTCTAAGCATAGGCTTTTTTAAATACCACCTTTCAACGCCAAAAGAAGTGACGCGAATACACTTAGATAAACAAGAGAGTCTTAAATATATTGCGTATCGTACAATATCTTGCGCAAGAAAACCAATGTTGTTATCACCTTCTCAGGGGATGATTAGCACAGTGTTAATTTGAACTTTAACAAATAAACAACCATTTGAGACATTTGAGATGCTTTAATGAAGAAAGAAGCTCTCACAGGATGAAAAAAAGACTGACAAAAGTACTAATCATTTTTGCAGAATTTATTTGTTTATTTAAAAAAAACTAGGATTTAAGAAATATGACATCCGAAGATAAATGCTAGTAGAAAAAGTATCAATCTCCTCTCTCTCTCTCTCTCTCAGATCCGAGGTTTTGCTTTATTCTAACTGTGTATAGATTCTAACAAGGTGTGTAGATCTATTTTAAAAGGATTCATTTATATCGTTTCAATAACTTCAAAAATTCATGTAAAGTAGTAAGATCCTTTTATTATATGTTGAATAAGACTCAAGCATAGTATGGTTTATTCTACAAAAAATTAATAAATTATATTGCTCATGTTATTGGAAACACATCAAAATTTATCGATATCGTTGTTTAATAAACAGAATCATTATGCAATTCCAAATTGATTTATGGTTTACGCTATATTGATATGAATTTATTTTTTATGCAATGTAAAGCAACAACCTACAGTTTTATATCAGGACTATGGTGGGACATATGCCCACTATCAAGTACCGTCATTTACAACTTAGTACATTCTCAAATGATTATGTTATATTAGAAGAGACGCTGGTCTTTTTTTGTTTCTTTGATATTTATTTCCTTCTTCTGTCATCAAAAAGAAAAAAAAAGACCACTGCATGTCATATAGAAATAAAGGCAAGAGTTTATAAAGTTCACTGACCCAAACTCGTAAATTATGTACATATCATGAGATCATTTACTAGAAAGGTGTGCTCGTTCTATCTCATTATCTCTATTCACCATATCAATGCATATTAATTATCCGACAGTTTTCTTATGTCTATTCTTGTCTATTTGAAAATTCAAATTTGCAAATAAAAACAGATCCCCATCTTAACATTCTTCCTTACACCCACGCAAACGTCTTCTGAAATTGTTTTTTAATTATAGTCCATAGTTAATATCATTTAAATAATTTCTGTTTTATTACATTTCCTAGTTTTCGCTTCAGATAATAAGAACAAATGTGTGAGAAAATTATCAATAAAGATATATGCCTAGATATAGCATAAAATTAATCAGCAGTTTTCAGGAAAGTGTTAAGTTAATTCTTTTTATTTTTCATTGTTTTTATAATATTCATATATTATTTTACACGAGGCTATGTTTGAATTAATGGCTTGGCACCTTTGATCCCATGCAAGTCGGATCGAAAAATTATCATTTTTGTGCATTTTGCTATGTTGCAATTGTGTTTTAAATCTATAGTTATACTTTAGCCACCCATTCAAAAATTATCTTTCGTTGCAAAATTAAGACATTTCATGATTAACAAAAGTACAGTTCAGTTAAGAATTTTTTTTTGTGATAATATTTTAAATTTTATAAATTTCAAATCTTTTGCATTAAATAATATTTAAAGTTTTTTATTCGGTGATGCATAAAAGTAATTAACACTGTTTGATCTTTCTGCAGAAACGTATTTTCCAGTTTTAATATACAATAATACATGTAATTTTCATGTGGAGGACTCGTTTCATTTGTTCTTTTTGTATGCAACAAATATCATCAAATTAGGGAGTATTTATATAGAAATATCTTATGTTTCACTTTTCAATAGCAGGCATATGGCATTGCCCCCTTCCCTTCCCCCCTTTTCCCCAAATATAATGTTTAAAGTTTATTTAGTATGAAAATATTCATTGAAATTGAAAGGCTGGTCCCCCTGCCATTTTTTGTTGCATGTATGGTCAACTCCTCCCATGTAATGTATCCAAAATTTTTCTTATCAAAAAAAAAAAAAAAAAAAAAGAATCTTACCCCCCATCCCCACCCCCGAAATACCAAAATAAGCATTTTGAATTTGAGTTTTTTTTTTGTTTTTTGTTTTTTTTTTTTTGGCCATTTTTCATTCCCCTCCCTTTCAAAAAAACTATGCTACGGGCCTGAATATTATTGATTCCCGCCTACTTATGTGTAGATAGGAATCACTAAATGTTGATAATTTGTTCAACAGTACAAAAAATTATCAGAAATTCTGGTAGATTTACTTGACTATTACTCCTAGTTTTACTTATGCATTAAAACAAACTATTTTATCTATAGAAATTGAACCATGCTATTGACAGTTATAACCATTTAAGGTGGGAATCTCCTAAGTTGTAAGAACTTCTCTTTGACCCTTTTGTATATATCAATACAATAAAATGTGTTCAAGCCATAATAATAATTAAAAGAATAAAGTAATGGCGAAGCAAAATATGTTATAATTGATTAATTATAATTACACATACCTGTCTGATCCCGATTTCCAATGATATATTTCTCAGATCAATTCCAATAAGATGCATGAAATAATGTTTCCTTAGAATTGTTTATTTTGTCCGTCACTGTTCTTATAAATTCACATATTTCACAAAACACTAATTATTGTCGAAATATTTTACGATGCAAAGTTGCATGTCTGTTATGTACAAAGCATTATTGAAAATAAGCTTAGAATATTTAAGTTGGGTTTTAAATACATAATGAATTTAACTGTCATGTGTGTGATATTTATTTTTAAACATAGGAAGTTAAATCAAGTGGCTAAAATAAACAAATATGGGATTCCACTCTTTATTGGATAAAAAAAGGAAGCAATGCACTATAGCAAGAGTTGACAGGAAGTTGCGTTTTGATTGGATAATATTATTAGAAATAAAAAGGTCACATGGAATATTCAAAGCCTCGTGATACAGGTAGTATTGTCTCCATTCATATAATTTTACATGGGACGTATGTTACAGGTGAATTGATTAAGCTAGTTGTCTTCTTGAGAAAGCACAAACCGCATTGGTTTATCAAACTTCGAATGTGTTTGGTTGTCATAAAAGGCCAGTCAAGCATGCTGAAATGATATAAACTATTGCGGTAACAATCTGCAATGCTATAAATGACTGTTCTGTCTTGTAAAAATTCTAACTGCACAGACAGCATTGTATCAATCAAACGTTATTATTAAGATGTCAACTATGCAGATGCAGACGTTAGACTCTTTAAATTTCATAGGTAATAGTGGTCTTGTTTCCAGGTTATGTAGCAAGTGTGTAAAGATTGTAGACATATAAAGTTGATTTAGGAATGCAATTACCTGGTCGCACTGGCTGCACCTTTCCCAGCTCAAGGATGCTTATTTAAAATGTATCAAATTCAGCATTATCAAAGACAATAACAATGGAAAGATATGTGAACAACAACACTTAACAAGGAACTGATATCGTCATGATTATTTCTTTTTTTTCGGATTTGATGCAAACAAACGCTTCATGTGTAACACATAATCATCAAATATTAATAGGAATTAATAGGCAAAACAATGCAATTATAACTTGTACACGTTGTCAGTATGCTTCGGGTGAAGAAGAAGATTTTCATTGGTGTAATGGCGGGTATCCGGAAATACGTCGATTAACCAATAATAAGAATGCATTGCAGTGTTTATCGATTGTATGTAATGATGCATTGTTGGTTAAGGATGGAACATCTAAGGCAAACTAATATACATGTTGTACTTGCCGTGTTGCTAAATTAAATTATTTTTACTGAGCTATGAGAATCGATAGGTATACTTCACAAGGCCACAGCGGTGTATAGATTGACATACAGATGGAGTTCTTTACTCTGTTGGGGAAAAGAGGCATCACCTCCATAATGTCGAGCACCCGGACTTATTATATAGATAATATATAATATGTCTCTTACTTGCATGAATAATATTATCGCCACAGAGTCCCTCAGATAATCTTTACATATTATATTTTACGATGTCTATTATGTTATATATATGAAGGTATTTCAAGACTTTTAACAAATTACGAGTACATGATTATAAACTTCCCTGTTTTCAGTTTAAAATACAATTGATAATCAAAACGAAACTATGTCATAGTATAACAATTGTTCATAAAATAAACCACTGCATCCACTTAATATGAAATCACTTTTACTTTTTGGAAACCCGTATGCTCTTTTATAGCCAACAGTTGCTCGAATCTTTAAACAATGCGAAGTATTCTCAGTGATAACTATAAACTACATCCGTGTTATGCCAATTAACCTATTTAGCAGGAAGAAGATTCATATAAACAATCATAAAACAGTTAAATTCAGGTTATCAAGTTTATCACGTTTTAACAAATAAAGATATATAAACATCATATCTGTCTTCTTTTACGGTTTGAAATTGTCCAATCTGTGTGATGCCTGGGAATAAATGCGACTTAAATGATCCAGAGTTTCTGCTGAGTTAGGTCGTAAGTATATTAAAGAGAGCATCTCATTTTGAAAATTTATTCATTAGCATATGCTTTAAACATGGACATATCGTTTGTCTTTTTTATTTATTCAATTTTATTCACAACCAGCCATGTGACTCAGGCCAAGAATTCAGCCAATCAGAAGAGGCGATACCTGACGTGTTTAGACTAGCCAATATTTTTACGTTGTACTGAAATGTTCACGCCCTCTTAAGATAATAGAATGAGGATGTATCATGTTTAAAGCTTTGTCAATTTATTAAAATTCTGGACGACAATTGTTACTGTTTTGAGGCGAATCTACATGAAAATCATTTTGGGCGGTTACAAAAACATGAAAAAAAAAATAATAACGCAGGTCTATCGTAAAACCTTTACTTAGGAAGCAAATAGGCATACGCGACTCCAAATATTATTTACTTGGATGTACGTCTACTGGGCGAAAAAAATCTATTCGTTAAAAAATCACGGAAAATAGAGAAAATAATTACCAAATTTTCACCCATTTTCATCAGCTGTAATTGCAAGATTTAGTATTATTCGAGTTCTTTCACGTCATTTTTTTCTTTTTTTTTGTAACATTTCATTTTGTTAATAAAGATGAGGACTGAGGACATTACATTAAAAATTATATGCATCTTTATCATGTTACTTGGCAGTTATAGGGTAAGTTATGTGCATGTTAGTTATAAGCGGACGCTCAATGGGCCATTTGTCATTCAGCACATTTGAAGGATATATATATATATATATATATATATATATATATATATATATATATATATATATATATATATATATATATATATATATATATGGCATTCAGTGAACCGCGGGAGGAAAATAATCAGTTGCTGCTGCTGTTTATCCCCCTCATCCCCCCATCCCACCCCAACCAAATATGCTTAAGAGAATAAAATTACCATCTTTATTTAGTTATAGTAAATTAATTTATACTTAATTCCTTAAATTGCAAAAGAAAAAAAATCTACATTAATGAGGAGAATACATAAAAAAAAATTAAACGCGAAATGCTCATGCAATAAGAAAAAGCACGATGTATTTCTTAGAATTGGTAAGTTAATGGGTACTAAAGTGGATGAATTCTGGCGATGAATCTTCGTGTAACCTTTGACTTAAATGAACTCGTTATTGGAAAAAAAAAACTTCTCGTTGTATTGTGTGAGAAACTGGCATGTATTCAGAGTAGAATCAGTTATGTTAAAATAATAGATACAGGTATATATAAATTTTGGGCAGACTTATCTTGACATATTATGAAGATGAAACGACATCATGTACATATATGTTTACTAATAGAGCTGACGTTACTTCGTTCATCACTGTTTTTTTTTTCCTGATCAAGTGCTATATAATACAGTTCTGGTCGGGTTCATTACAACCCCATGTTTTTAATTTCTGTGAGGTCATTCCACTCATTCCGAGACATCAGTAATTAATTTAGACACACCTAATTTAAATCATCACAACTGACCTTGTCTGTCAAACCCATGACCTCCAGTTTACTTAGCAAAAGTTCTACTAAGTGACATGACACAATCTTGAGTATAGATGAAGAATAATACGCCTACACAAATACTTTAATATAAAGGTACAAATATATATGTTGATGGGTGTTTTGTATGTTTTATTTGAAACACTATTTAGAAGGTACAATAGCATACTAAAATAAAAAAAGAGGTACTCGAAATACTGTTTTCATAATGATAAATAATACCACTTAATTATCCCTTTCAAAAGTCGTGAATTTGTTTTTATTGTTGGGTTTTTTGTTGCTCACCGTTGTCTCTGATCCTAATTTAACTAGCATTTCAAACTTCTCCCTAACCAGGGAGCCAATTTTGTCGGAACGGGGATGCATGCGATCGTACCCCCTGTTTAAAAATTACTTGAAAGTGTAAAATAATGTTTGAAACAAAATAAATTCATTATTTAATTGTTTAAAGTAATGCAGATTTATTTTGTTTATTTGATATGTGAAGAAATGACTTCAAGAATGCACCAGAACCCACCAAAACAGTACCAGTTTATTTGGAATACCAGCATTTATTTCATCCTATCTTTACAACTGATCTAAGAATGGAGGCGCACAAGGCGAAGACCCCCCCCCCCCCCCCCGCCGAGACAAGATATTTCTCAATTCTAAAAATTTGTAGAAAAGTTATATTTTTTCAAAAATTGCATTATTATCTTTTACATATTTTATTCCTTTATTTTATTGAATTATTTAATTTTTCAGTAATATTTTAAGGTGTGTGAAAAGAAAAAGAGAGCCTCATACATGGTTTGAACTTATTCTAAAACTTGAGATTATAAGGTGCAATATGTTAAACTAACACTGGAATGTGTCGGTGTGATTTAAATAAACGAGTTTGTTGAAGCATATCATTTTTTTCTGAAATGTTCGACTTTCATAAGAATGGGTTCAGACTCCCTTTTCTTTTCTTTTTTTTTGGAAACCTAAAATATCTTTAATATTCATTTTCCCGTCATTTTAAAAATTTATGTAGAAATGGAGACCTGACCCATTCATATTCAAAATCATTTTTAATGATCCCTTTCCACGAAATATGTTTTAACAGTCAATTTAAAATAATAAATTATCAATAAATATGTTATTCAACAAAATAAATGAATCAAATATGTCAAAGATGACATTATAAACACCAGAATTTTTGAAAATTTCAAATTTTCCATGAACTTTGAAATCTTAAAAATAGATCGTCTCAGAGCGGGGGCAGGGATTCTCTGCGCCTTGTACGCCCCCATTCAGATTTCCTACATTCGAGTTGTCGACCCCGTAACATGCATTATCGTAGACCCCACTTGCCCCATTGTACTTGGTGAAAAAGCGTTAAACTAAGTGCATGGAACAGTTCAACTCTGACATTCCTTCTGGATGTTTTGCATGACTGTCGCATGCAGTATGAGAGAAATACACTACTAAAATACCTCTAAACTAGGAGGTGGTTAAAGAATGCTAGTACAAGCGCTGAATGGTTATTCCTGGCAGTTTCTATAATCGACCCACAAGATGTTCATACAAGTATTACACTATTGCGCTAATTAA